CAGATTCTCCAGCATCTGCAGTTCCTACTATCTCTCTCAATTACAAACCAGTTTTTCTTTACATTTGACATTGGGGAAAATTTTAGAAGCTATTATTAAAGAGGTTGTGGTAGGGCACTTAAAGTTCAAGGTAGTTGGGCAGAGTTAACATGGTTTTGTGAAAGGGAAATCATGTTTCACCAAATTATTGGGGTTGTTAAGGAAATAACGTGCTGTTGATAAAGGGGAATTGTTAAATTTAGTGTACTTGGAATTCCAGAGGCATTCGATAATGTACCTCAAAAGTATTGTGAAAATAAAAGCTCATGGTGTAGGGCTTCGATATTGGCATGGATAGAAGATTGGCTGTCAGGAATCCGAGAGTAGTCATAAATGGGTCCTTGTCTGGTTAACAGGATATAATGAGTGGTGTGCCACAGGGATCAGAACAATCACCTTTTGCAATTTATACAAGTATTGGATGAAGGGATGGAGAAATGGTTGCTATACTTTCTGATGATGCAACAATAGATAGGGAAGTAAGGTATAAAGAGGACATAAGGAAGTTACAAAGGGATGTATTAAAGCAAAATAACAGTGGATGATCAAGATCTGAAATGGAAACAACATACTGAAAAGCAGCAAGTCTGGCAGCATCTGTGAACAGAGAAAAAGTATATGGTATGACTCTTCTCCAGAAGTGCATATTGCACAAAGGGATATAGATCGGCTATGTGAATTGGCAAAGGTGTGGTAAATGGAATATAAAGTGGAAAAATACAAAATTGGCTGTATTGGCAGGAAGAATACAAAATAAACGTATTATCTAAATGATGAAAGATTGCAGAGGTTTTTGTGGTGGTGAATGAAATGCAAAATGTTTGTAAGCAAGTACAGCAGGTAATTAGGAAAGCTAATAGAATGTTATGATTTATTACAAGGAGAATTGAATACAAAAGTAGGGGCACTATGCTTTAGTTATACAGAGCAATGGTGAGACCACATCTGGAGTACTGTGGTCACAGTGCACCTTTGCCTGCCATCTGTCACACCCACTAGTCTAGCAAATGGATAATTCTTTGAGCTGCTTTCCAACCAGAATAATGCTTTGCTACATTCAACAATTTGCAGTCTCTTTAATGGCATTTGTGAGCCAGCTAAACAATAGGACAAATTTATGCTGCCTTTGTTTTGAATGCTTCAGCTGTCTACTATATTCTTTCCCACACAGCATGGGAATCTGGGAAGTTGCCAGAAACTGATTGCTTTGACAGTGCAACACGAATCCTTTGGTCTCCATAGAACGATATACTGAATGGGATTGAAATTGTTTCTTTTTCCATTTTGTAATAACAGCAAACTTCAGATTAAGTTTGGTTACTGAATATAGAAACATTCTCCTCAAATAATTATTACTAACGTTTATACACAGAATGAAATATTTTTGAATCGACAGTTATGTAACATAAATTACTTTAATTAGAATGTATTACAGGACAATAGTCGAGAATTGCCTGCTTCCATGTATTAATTGCCTGAAGTGTTAATGACCATTCCATTAGCTGTGTGGTGGGATTTGAACCCGTGTCCCTCGTGCATTAGCTTGAACCTTTTGGGTTATGAGTTCATTTGACATTAATCATATTCCACCCCATCACCATAATTCTAAGATAATTTTTTTCACGTATTGTAGGAAGAGTAATCTGTTGTTCACTCGCCTTAGCCACAGAAAATAGGAATATTGCACTTGCAGATGGTGCTCCCTTTTTTCTATTTGTCTTATTTAGGAATATGCTAATTCATTTTAAGCAGATAGTATATAATGTAACTTCTGGTAACTGTCTTAAAGTCTGGTGTAAAACTCTATTTTGATGAAATAAGTATCAAATTTGACATAGTAGTTTGAAAAAGATTTTAAATCAAAGCCGATTTCCTATTATTTTTGCATCTGCATCCTGACTCATGTCAAATCTTGTTTGTCTGTTACCCCATGCTCCGAGTTACCCAGTCCTTCCATGCTTAGAGTTTAAAATTTTTAGCGTGTCTAGACCCCTTCAGTGTCATATCCTCCCCCTGCTTATAACTTTTTGAGAACTCTCAGCTCCACCAGTTTTTGCCTCCTGCATATCCTCTGTCAGTTTCACCATTCATGGCTGTGCTTTCTGGTATCTAGGCTATTGAGTTGTGGAATTTTCTCCCTAAACTTCTCTGCCTTTCTACTGATTAAAACCTACCTTTGACCAAATTTCTAGGCACTTTGCCTTATTTGACTTGGTGTCAAATGTTGTTAGTTGATCATCTTGCGAATCGTTTTGGGGTGTTTTTTCTACCTTAAATGTGCTATACAAATAGGAGTTGTAGTCTGCAATAATCAATAGCTGGATGACAATTGTATTGAGCTAAACATTGCCCCATATATGAGATGATGAAGCAAGAATTGTATTTTGTTTGTTTATAACCCACTTTGACATTTTATAAAACGATATTGCTCAGGATGTTGTTGTTTGCAGGTGGGGAAAGATGATTTAGATCTCAGCAAACCTTGCCAAGGTACAAAACAGGCTCCTTCTTCTCCTCTGGTCAATCAGTACAGCCTCACCCTTGGGCAGGATATGGGCTCACATGACACAAAGTCACTTATCAAGTGTGTGGAATCACTGTCGTTTATTGTGAGGGATGCTGCTCATGTGACGCCAGAAAACTTTGAACTGTGTGTAAAAACGATTCGCATCTTTGTAGAAGCAAATCTCAATGGTGGTACGTTTGTACAAACACTTTTTCCCCCACTTGTTTTTTTTCAAACAATGTGTTTTTCGTTCTTCAGCAAATCATAACTACTTTGGAGACTGGTGGTATGTAATAGTATAGTACATATGCATGTTTGAAGTACATTTGCTTGTATTGCATGTGTAATGTATTTTACGTTGAAGTGAATGGCTAAAGCATGTCACCAAAGCCAGATTTCTATTTGTGATTAATTGGACAACTTGGCCAAGAAAGTTTGATTTCAAGAAACAAATTGATATATAACTATTATGCTTAATAAACCCTATTAGTGCCCATTTATTTCAAAATATGCCCGCTTATTCTGAGGGGCTTTTGTGGTGCACTGGTAGTGGTCTGGGTTAAAGTCCCACCCGCTCCAGTAGTGTGTCATAACATCTGTGAACAGGTTGATTAGAAATTATCTACCCACTTGTAACGCTTTTGCGCAATGCAATCAGTAGTTGCTCTGCAAAGCTTGTTTACAGAAAATCATGCTGTTTTACTGTCAAACATGTTTTAGCTGAAAATGGCTGTCCAGTTTCCAAATGGTTGAATATTTGTCAGATTTGTTTTTAGTACTGTGTGTCTTCATTGGCTTATGTGTATCTTTTAGATGCTTGCAGCAAATATACCTGAACAGTTTGGTAGAAATGTTTTTAAAAGTTAGTCCATACAGTAATATTAACCTCACTATGAAGCAGTCTAGTGATGGTATATTAGAACTGTTTCCTGAATGATTCTGGAGGATATGATGTGGCTTAGATTTAACAATGTTTAGAATGTATGAAAATAGTGTGTTAAGAGACCCTTTATTTCTTTAACTATACTAGTTTATTTTAAATTAAACAAAACAGCAATCTTGTAGTAAGAGATAACAAGGTGTAGAGCTAGATGAACACAGCAGGCCAAGCAGCATCATAGGAGCAGGAAAGCTGATGTTTAGGGCCTAGACCCTCCTTCAGAAATGGGGGAGGAGAAGGGGGTTCTAAAATAAATAGGGAGAGAGGGGGAGGCAGATAGAAGATGGATAGAGGAGAAGATCGGTGGAGAGGAGACAGACAGTTCAAAGAGGTGGGGAGCACGAAGCTGTGCCGATACAGTCATCAATGTAACAGAGGAAGAGGTGGGGTTTAGGGCCAGTGTAGGTACGGAAGAGGGATTGTTCCACGTAACCTACAAAGAGGCAGGCATAGTTTGGGCCCATGCGGGTACCCATGGCCACCCCACCCCGTTGTCTGTAGGAAGTGGGAGGAATTGAAAGAGAAGTTGTTGAGGGTGAGGACGAGTTCAGCTAAGCGGATGAGGGTGTCAGTGGAGGGGGACTAGTCGGGGCTGTGGGACAGGAAGAAGCGGAGGGCCTTTAGGCCCTCTGTATGGGGAATGTAGGTGTATAGGGACTGGACGTCCATGGTAAAGATGAGGTGTTGGGGACATGGGAATTGGAAGTTCTGGAGGAGATGGAGGGCGTGGGTGGTGTCACGGACATAGGTGGGGAGTTCCTGGACCAAGGGGGAGAAAATGGAGTCGAGATAGGTGGAGATAAGTTCGGTGGGGCAGGAGCAGGCGGAGACAATGGGTCGACCAGGGCAGTCAGGTTTGTGGATTTTGGGAAGGAGATAGAAGCGGGCGGTGCAGGGTTGGGGAACGATGAGGTTGGAGGCTGTGGGTGGGAGGTCACCTGAGGTGATGAGGTTGTGGATGGTTTGGGAGATGATGGTTTGGTGCTCGAGGGTGGGGTCATGATCAAGGGGGCGGTAGGAGGTGGTGTCAGAGAGTTGGCTTGTGGCCTCAGCGATGTAGAGGTCAGTGCGCCCTACTACAACTGCGCTTGAACAGTTCATCCACTTCACCAACACCTTCCACCCCAACCTTAAGTTCACCTGGACCATCTCCAATACCTCTCTGTCCTTCCTGGACCCCTCTGTTTCCATCTCTGGCAACTACCTAGAAACCGATATCCATTTCAAGCCCACCGACTCCCACAGCTACCTAGAACACACCTCCTCCCACCCACCTTCCTGCAAAAATGCCATCCCCTATTCCCAATTCCTTTGCCTCCGCCGCATCTGCTCCCAGGATGAGGCATTCCACTCCTGTACATCTCAGATGTCCTCGTTTTTCAAGGACGGCAACTTCCCCCCCACCCCCCCTCAGTGGTCGAGAACGCCCTCGACCGTGTCTCCCGCATTTCCTGCAACTCATCCCGCACACCCCCTCCCCACAATAACAACCAAAAAAGAATCCCCCTCGTCCTCACACACCACCCCACCAACCTCCGGATCCAACGCATCATCCTCCGACACTTCCGCCATCTGCAATCCGACCCCACCACCAAAGACATTTTTCCCTCCCCACCCTTATCTGCTTTCCGGAGGGACCACTCTCTCCGTGACTCCCTTGTCCGCTCCACACTCCCCTCCAGCCCCACCACACCCGGCACTTTTCCCTGCATCCGCAGGAAGTGCTACACCTGTCCCTACACCTCTTCCCTCACCCCCATCCCAGGCCCCAAGAAGACTTTCCACATCAAGCAGAAGTTCACCTGCACATCTGCTAATGTGGTATACTGCATCCGCTGTTCCCGTTGTGGCCTCCTCTACATCGGGGAAACCAAGCGGAGGCTTGGGGGACCGCTTTGCAGAACACCTACGCTCGGTTCGCGCTAAACAACTGCATCTCCCAGACGCGAACCATTTCAACTCCCCCTCCCATTCCTCAGACGACATGTCCATCCTGGGCCTCCTGCAGTGCCACAACAATGCCACCCGAAGGTTGCAGGAACAGCAACTCATATTCCATTTGGGAACCCCGCAGCCAATGGTATCAATGTGGATTTCACAAGCTTCAAAATCTCCCCTCCCCCTACTGCATCCCAAAACCAGCCCAGCTCGTCCCTTCCTCCCACCTATCCCCTCCTCCCACCTCAAGCACCACCCCCATCTCGTACCTACTACCCTCATCCCGCCCCCTTGACCTGTCCGTCCTCCCTGGACTGACCTATCTCCTCCCTACCTCCCCACCTACACTCACCTTTACTGGTTCCATCCCCGCCTCTGACCTGTCTGTTTCCTCTCCACCTATCCTCTCCTTTATCCATCTTCTATCCGCCTCCTCCTCCTCTCCCTATTTGTTTCAGAACCCCCTTCCCCTCCCCCATTTCTGAAGGAGGGTCTAGGCCCAAAACGTCAGCCTTCCTGCTCCTCTGATGCTGCTTGGCCTGCTGTGTTCATCCAGCTCTACACCTTGTTATCTAAAAGTTTGTGTTGTCCTTCTCCAATTACTTTTTCATCTGAAGATTATTTGTTCAATACCAAACTATTTTATGTTCCAGTTTTTTAAAAATTTCTAAATAACATTGTTTCTAAAATTTGTGCTGTCTTATTGCAGGTTATAAAACACATGAAAGGAAATCTAAAACGTACAAGTTTGACAAATCCAATCGTTTGAAGAAGAAACAAAAGGAGAAGGAGAGTTCCATGAAACGCTCAAAGACTTTTAACCATCGCCCATCACGATCACATAGTGATGATGATGAGGATGACAGTGTACCAGCAAGTTATCACACTGTGTCATTACAGGTTAGTCAGGATGTAAGTATAAGCAGATCTTTCCCATTCCTGTTCTTGGTTCAAGCTATCTGGTCTCAGCTTAGAATCTGATTCTTGGTTTTATTCTACTCGCTTTCCCTCATCTTTTGTTCCAAGACTTCTGCCATTTTGTCCATTAAGTTATAGGTGAATCTGTCGTCATTCTTCCTGTTTATTCTCCCAGTCTTCTCCCTACTCTGGATAAAATTATGCAGGTTATCTCTCCTAATTGTCTGAACATGTTACCATTTGGTGGTGTCACCCAATACTTTGACGTTCTTGGGCATCTTATTACTATAAATTTGTTGATCCCCTTCCTGTTAGCTGGGTTTTCAGAGTTTAAAAACTACTTATGTTTCAGGTGGCTAGATAAATAAGTTCAGATTTTATTTAAGTCACGAAGAACGTTGAAGCTTTTTTTTGACTATCTTCAGTGTAGGAAAGTTGTGTACCGAAGTTCTCCTGTAGCTGACGTTTTTTAAATCTATGTAAAAAATAATCCAGAAAACAGCTAACCTTAATAATGTCATTCCCAAACTATGGTGGGTTTGTTGATATTTTCTAATTAACCTGTTCAGAGATGTTAATACATATCTCTGGAGTGGATGGGACTTGAACCTGTGTCTTCTGGCTCAGAGGAGGAACAGTACCACTGCACTACAAGAGCCCCATTGTGGGTTTGTATTACATTTGGAAAATTATTGAGCCTATTCTCAACCTTAGAATAATCACAAATGCTCTCCCCAAACCTGACATCAGTTGGATAGTGTTTGATAATGACCTGTGTTAGTTATGCTAATTAATTCTTTGGTAGCTATTTTTACATCAAAGATTTTTGTTCAGAGATATTTTCACATTACAGCCAGTCTTTTAGTAATTATGCTTTTTTAAAAAACATGGCTGTAGGCACTTAATTATTGTTGCCAGGTTTTTGGCTTTCTGGATAATCTACTCTGAAAATTCCTGGTTAAACCCAATATACATGTCTTCAATGCTAAGCTTAATGACAGATTAAACTATTGTAATACAGCTTTCTAATTTTTATGTTCTTTCCTTACAATATTGTTGAAATATGGTTCTGATATTGCATACCCCTGTGCTTAAAAATGGAACTTTTAGATAGTTCAGGTGACATCTCAACATTCTTACTGTTTTCTTAGATTGTACTGTATCATTAATTACGGAAGTGCCATGATTCTATTAAATACAGTGTTCTACATGTAAATGAGTTGATGTTACTTTTATTAGAGCTTCTTTTAAAATTGTTCAGTTATAGGCATTGAGGTTGTGAAAAGCACGACTGATCTGAGAAGGGGTGCAGTGCAGTTACCAGACAGATTGTGGCTAACAAGATTGAATTATGAGGACAGTTGGGATGGACGAGGGTGGTATTCCCTTGTGTATAAAAGATTAGGGTGTGATTTAATTGAGTGCCTAAGGTGATTAAAGGATTAGTTAGGGTAGATAGAGAGCAACTATTTTCCCTGAAGTCCAGTACATGGGCGTGGCCTTCAAATTAGAGCTAAACTGACTTTAAAAGCCATTGAGGATGGAAATCAGTTGAAAGTTTTGAGATGTTTGTTAGACCAGGATATTAAGAGTTATGGAACCAAGGTCGGTAAATGGAATTTCTGATACAGATCATTCACGATTTCACTGAATGGCAAGAGATTCAAGGGGTTGAATGTCCACCTCATCATCCAGTAGGTTTAAACAAAAATATTACATTTCTATCCATCAGTACTCGCTTTCAGGTAATTCTATCCATCACAATGATTTGCCTGTATTTCTTTCTCTTTCAGCTTCTGGATTTGATGCACACACTCCACACTCGGGCTGCCAGTATTTATAGCTCATGGGCTGAGGAACAACGCCACTTGGAGGCAGCAGGAAGGAAAATTGAAGCTGATGCCAAAACCTTATGGTCTAATTGCTGGTGTCCACTGTTGCAAGGTAAGTTGGGGCTGCAGGACCATAGAGGGATTGATTGTTCACATGTTTTGTTAATGGGAGTAACTTCTGCTTTCCAAGAGCCGAGAGGAAATTGACCACTATTATGCCAATTTCAGTTTACTGAGTCAGAGCATTCAAATACAGACTTTTCTAAACAGACACAATTGTATGTAAGGTTTGTAAAACAGTCACCTAATTTTCCAGCCATAACCAGAGCATATAAGATGTTTCACTGGCCGCCGCACCTCTTCTCGGATTGGAAAATTTGACCTTGTGCTCACTGAATATTTCACTCCTCACTGCTGTGCAGAGACAATATGTGGGAAACTCGATTCTTGAGTAAGCAAGGACTACAGAGTTCACAATAAGGTGTGGGAGCAAACAGAGGAATGGTACATTCTAAGTACATCTAAAATTCGTTGAGTTTCAAATATGTATTCATGGGATATATGGTATCTGATGCTCAGCACTAAATTACCTTGAGAAGATGTTGGACAAATGGATACAGCAGAGTGATCCAACAGTTACAGCTTGATTCTCATTCTTGAAAGAATAAGCTCAGTCATGCCAGAATACTTCTGCTCAATGAGCTGAGGATGGGGGAACATCTCAAGAAACAGAATCTTTTGTGGGACAAAAATAGAAATTGCTGGAAAAACTCAGCAGGTCTAGCAGCATCTGAGGAGAGAAAGCAGAGTTAATGTTACAGATCCAGTGACCCTCCTCCTTGGGCTCTTATTGGCTGTGCATAATTTTCTTGAATAATCCTTTACTGATTAAAAAAAAGCTTTTGCCTTTTTGTGGCCTTGATTTCTTATCCTTCGTTGGTGCACTTTTGGATTCAAGTGGAGTCTACAATTGCAATCAACCATTGCATTTCCAAATTTAAGTTGAGAAAGTAATTGACCATTATGGAGGTTAACCCTACAATTTCCTTGGAGGTTCTATAGTTTATCAAGGCAGAAAGTTGAGCTGAGATGTACAAGTACAATACATAAATGTACCAAGTAGCTGTGGCAGAGTATGTAATATAACCTGTCCAGAGTTATTTGACACTTACTCTTCAGTATCTGTCTCTTCAGGCATTGCTTGGCTTTGCTGTGATGCCAGACGTCAAGTCAGAATGCAGGCACTTACTTACCTACAAAGAGCCCTGTTAGTGCATGACCTACAAACATTGGATGCTTTGGAATGGGAATCCTGCTTTAACAAGGTACTGATTGAGCTGCCACATTCGTCAAGTTGAAAATGTTATTGTTTTTTAAAAGTTTAAATTGAAACATCTTTTACGAATCTGTATTATGCTCTGTGGTTTGTTTGCATAGGTGTTATTCCCACTATTGACCAAGCTGTTAGAGAATATCAGTCCAGCTGATGTTGGTGGAATGGAAGAGACCAGAATGAGAGCTTCAACTCTGCTTTGCAAAGTGAGTTTGTCACCCTTTGTTTTGAGTGGAAACTTTTAATCGAACATACTACTGAAAATAATGCCAGTGATTGATCGGATGCTGTACACTGGTTTGTGTGATTGCCACACGGTTTTGTTACACTAACAGAAATTAGTGGATGTTTTGCATGGGGTTTAGGTTATTCAGTACACTAATAAACATTTCATGGGTTTTTCCATTTCAATGTGGCTTTGTGTGCTTTTACATTGACAGAGTACACAAAGCAGTGTACACTGCTGGGTTATGTTTATGTATCATCGATGCTTTGGAGCAGTTTTAGGTAGTCAACTGTTTGCATCTTTCATTAAATGATATACTAAAGTCTCCTATGTGGTGGTGGGGGACGAAGACAATAATACACCAAGCTGAAAATGGAATGTAATGGGGCTGGGAAGTCCACACTGGCATGTCCAACTCTACTTTGGCCACTGCAGTGAAAGACATTCACTTCCGCTAAATCTTAATTTTCACTCATCAGACAATTTAAAATGATTTTATTTTAAAACTTCTTAATATTGAAGCTAAAATGATTCAGTGATTTTTATTTTCTTCCAAGAACGGACTTAATAGTGTCGGTGTCTTATTCTGCATTTTCCATCGCACCATCATAATTTTATATTGATTAATTGGTAACAATTAGTATTTGAAATAGATATGGTGGCATGCTTTACCGATGATGGGGGTACTTTCTCTTTACTAGAACATCCCAATAAAGAATTACTTTGTGAATTTCTGACAGAGAAAATATTTACAATTGTGCAGCTCCAAAATATGATTGTTTTCACACATCAGGTGTCATTTTGAGTGGTGTCAACTGTTGCTCATCAAGAGTGGAAAGAAGCGTTCTCATAAAGTTCAAGTATAAGATGGTACTATTTGAGCCCAGCAGTTATTCTGATTTGCTTGCAGAAGTGGCCAGCACATTTGTTTTGTATAATGTGTTTTGAGAACAACTGACTTTGTGCAGTAAAGATATTTATTTTCTGTCCACATAAAGGTTTTCCTCCAACACCTGTCTCCACTGTTGTCTCTACCAACATTTGCTGCCCTTTGGTTAACGATCCTGGATTTCATGGATAAGTACATGCATGCAGGATCCAGTGACTTATTGGTACGGAAAACATGTGGCAAAACTTGGATAAAACATATTTTCCAAAGGCTTGCTGTATTCTTAAACAAGAAAATTCTTCATGAAGAGCTGATAATTCTTTCCATAACGCATAGAATTTTACTGTATTAATTGCATTGTAGTTTATCTTGATATCAGGTCTCACATCTGGGCTCCTCCCGTTTTCACCCATCAAGTATTCTTGATCCACCATTGGTGGCTATGCCTTCAGTTGTCCCAAACTCTGGAATTTGTTCCCTAAATCTCTCTAACCATGTTTCTCAGGTAATCAGTTGTAGTGTCCACTTCTGTGACTCAATGTCACATTCTGTCTGCTAATACTACTGTGAAGTGGCTTGGAATGTTTTGCTATATTTGAGGAGTTCTATAAATGCAAATTGTTGTGTTGATTTTTGGCTTCAAATTTGATATGATAAACATCTTCCTTTGATAGGATAGAGATGGGTGAAGTTTATGAAATTTCCATTATAATTGCAACTTGTGTTTAAAAAGGTTCCTTTGAATTTTTCTACAGTGCTCCAAACCATTGATACTTGTGAATGTAGCATTTATCCAACTGTGCTTTGTCCGGAGACTGGACCTTGATTGAAGTCTCATAATTAAGACTGAATAGGTTTATTTTTTAAAAGGGCTTTGTAGAAATTATTAGAAAAGTTATTTAACGGTTTGCTTCACACAGTTGTAAATTCAAGTGACTTGTTGAATGCCAAAGTAATGAAGTGAATTGGAAATGTCAGTGATCCCTAAGAAATGCATTATAGAAACTGACATGAATGTGCATAGCTAATTACATTCATAAAAACGTGAAAATGGTCATTTGATATCTCAAAAGCAGTTTATGCTGTAGTCCATGTATCTTCAAACAGCAGCAATTCATGGAATGGTGCTACAAAGATATATTTTTCAGGAGTGGGATAAATTACAGATGCTGTCTGAAAGGTGGTTTTCTGAAACAATTCATGTTTTTTTTTTAAAGCATATTTAGTGTTGATATTGAGTGAGAAAATATCTCAAGTATTTTATATACGAGTATGTAAGTTTGTATTTGTAAGCCTCTTGTTTGCATAGCAGCTGACATTAGTATCAAATGTTGATATTAACAGACCTTGGTGTTCTGATTCAGTGTTTATCTACCAATGAAACAATTGTACTAAGAACATTTTGTTTTCCAAACCCATTGACCACTGAAATTGAAAAAAGAAACTAACAGTGGAAACAGTTTTGCATGACTTCAGTATCAAAGCAGCATAGATGCATCTTCTGTAAAGATTTATAGTTCTAACCAATCAAAAGGAAATATAGAAACACATACAGAATTTGAGGGTTGGAAATGTAGTTTGTATATTTCTGGTAGTGTTTTTTAGATATCTGCTAAGTGATTGCAAGTAAATTCTAGTTGCCACTGTAAAATATACCATCAAAAATTCTAATGTGCAGTTTTTGTTTCCATCCTGCTGTGTCTTGCTGACCATTATTTTCTTGTCCAGTTGGAAGCCATTCCAGAATCACTGAAGAACATGCTGCTGGTTATGGATACAGCTGGTATCTTCCATTGTGCAGATTCAAGGACTGGTTATTCTCAGCTTTGGGAGATTACATGGGAGAGAATAGATTGTTTCTTGCCTCAACTGAAGGATGAACTCTTTAAACAAACTGTCATTCAAGGTAAAATACTTTCACTGTATGCTTACCTCTGAGATTTGCTATCAAGTTCAAAGATGTCTGTATTCAATGTTCTTGTGATCTTTTCATGCACATAGTCCAAAAATAGTCCTGAATGCAGGTAATGACTTGAATTATACTTTATTCAGTGCAGTGCCAAAACTCCCGAATGCTTCTCCAAAATGAATGACTAAAGTACTAAACCATGCAATGACAAAAGGCAATTTTATATTAATTAGCTTGCTTTTAGATTTACAGTTGCAAAAGTGCTGAAAATTTATTGGCTGAAATGGCATATCCAAATTATTATCAATTTAGGTAGAAGTTTCCTGATAATCTTATCAGCATATTCCAGAGTTTAAAAGCTGGCACCGTTTAGGTCAGAATCAATGAAAACAATTAAAATCCTGAGGAAGCGGTACATCTGCACCATTTTTTTTAAAGTACTGAAACTATCAAACTATTTGTGCACAAGAAAATATAATCATCTAAGCTTTTCACTTTTAATTATGCTCATTCTGATATGATAGATGCAATGCAAGGAACTGGAAAACATAATGAAGTGCCTGACATCATCATAAATAGAACACTCCTAAAATCTAAGCACTAATCGACTTGGAACTGGTGCAAAGGAAGGAATCTGTATTTTTAACTGGGGAGCAGCAATGTTAATAAATGGGTAGAGGTTTCTTTGAATTGGTCCAAAACATTGTGAAGATTCTGGAGTAGTGGAAATTGGCAGTCACTTGCACCTGAACTTTCTCAAGTGTGTTTTGCTGTAAAAATCAGAATTATTTTGTAATTATATCATTTCAGCACATTTTCAAACAGTTGTCACTGGTGCATAATTTTGTGTGTTTGCTGTGGCATTTCTGAGCAGTTCTTTCCAGAAAGTTTTAAATGAGTGCATATCCTGCAGTCTGACAGTATGCGGAGATGATAAGAACTGAGCAATAATAGCAATAGTTCAGAAATGTATTAAAAGCTGAACTTGTGCTTAATGCGAAACCATGTGAGGATTTTCATAATATCTCTCTATTGTCTATCTGTGAAACATAAATTCAAACTTTGGTCCAAGCTTTTGGGCAGTTTCTCTCATGAGCCACCTGTTGAAAGTCCATTCGAAGAATGCTTGCACAATGTCACCTGTGAAATGGTGTCATTATTTAATTAAATTGCGTAGAGTTATCTGTGATATTGATTGACCAAATGAAATGATCTCGTTTATTCATGCAATAGATTTTTGCAAGAATAGTATCGAGGTGATACAAAAATGTGACCCTATACCTCCCAATCAGACCTGAACAGACTAGTAACTATCCTGCTGTTGTTCATTTGACATTATTTTGCATTGCTTGGGTTATGGCATGCAAGTTAACTTCTATAGAACTTCAGATTATGTTTACTAAATGTTCTGTCGTTCTTTGATCTCCTGGTTATTTTATAAAAGCTTAAGTTGAACTTCATGAAATGCTGATTTTGTCAAAATATATGGACGTTGTGGTTCGTTGTCTCACCTCTAAATCAGAAGATCAAGCTCTACTCAAAAATTTGGGCAGAAACTAGGATGGCACTCTACTGCATTACCGAGGGTGTACTATACACATTCTGTATCTTTGAGATGGGATGTTAAATCAAGGCCTTGGATGACTTTAAAAGAACTTCTAATTCTTGAAAGACTTTTGCACAAATTTGTGGGTATCTCACCATTTTAAGTGACTACTTCATAGGTACCACATGGACTGAAACGTGAATGATTTATTATTTTTACAATCTCAATTCACTTGATTAATTAATAAAATAGACTTCTGTAAAGTAGTGTACAACGTACAATATGACGGTACCAACTTATCTCTGCTGAGTCGCATGTAGGTCCAACTGCCGATCTTAGATTGATAGCTATACATAAGAAACCTGAACAGATGTCTTTGAAAAAAAATTAGTTGCGTCAAAAATAAAACCATTTTAAGAAAATGCTTGATGTGCTTTGCAGATCCTATCCTTGGCCCAGCAGCTGAGCCATCATCTTCAAATCCAATGCAACAGGTTAGCAGTGCACAAACATCTATCCTCCCAGGCTCAGAAGCAAATCTACCTACCAGTCAAATAACTACGTCTGAAAACCTTGCTGAGGCTAGTGCCAAAGGTGAGTAGGAGAGATTCAATTCAATAATACCATCATGCTTGAAGCTAGTCACACCTTCCAGATTAAATTGTGGACATTTGAGAGCCTTTGAAGAAGGCTGAAAAATCAGCATAGTTTTTGCAGGGATGCTGTGGTTTTGTATTTATTTTTAATATTACCTAATCTAAGTTACAATCTAGATAGAACAGCACCAGGTTACCACTTTCTTTTATTCATTCAGGAGTGTAGTTTTCATGGCTGGGTCAGCATTTATTGCCAATTCCTACTTGACCTTGAGGAGGTGTTGGTGAGTTGTCTCTTTGAACTAATGCAGATCCCAGTGTACCCACAGTGCTGTTACGGAGGGAGTTCCAAGATTTTGACTTGTCAGGATGGTGAGTGACTTGGGAGGGGAACTTGCAGATGGTGGTATTCCCATGTATCTGCTTCCCTTCTTCTTGTAGATGGTAGTGGCCATGTGTTTGGTAAGTGCTAAGACACTAACTGCATTTCTGCACTTGTGGATAGTACACACTGCTACTACTGTGCATTGGTGCTGGAGGAATTTGTGGATTTAGTGCCATTCAAATGGCTGTTTTGTCCTGCATAGTCTCAAGCTTAGAGTGCTGTTGGAGCTACACTAATACAGGCAAGTGGGGAGTATCCCATCATGCTCCTGCCTTGTAAGTGGTGCAGAGTCATGAAATGACTTACTTGCTGCAGGTTTCCTAGCTTTTGACCTACTCTTGTAGCTACTATACTTAAATGGCTTAGTCCAGTTCAGTTTGTTGTTGGTAATTGGCAGGATGTTTTTGGTGGGGATTTAATGATGATAATGCCATTAAGTTATAAGGAGTGATGGTTAGATTCTTAGAGACAGTACTCCATTGCCTATCGTGTATGCCATGAATGTTACATGTCACTTGTCACCCCAAACCTGGATATTGTCCAGATCTTGCTGCATTTTATACATAGACTGCTTAAATATCTGAGGAGTCATTAATGATGAGCAATCATCAACAAACCTGTGACAAAAGGTTACTGGACTCGAAATGTTAATTCAGCTTCTCCCTACAGATGCTGCCAAACCAAGCACTTTTTGTTTCAGATTTCCAGCATCCACTGTTTTTTTTTGTTCCTACTTTAAGGTTCAGAGGGGACTTGACAGGGTAAATGTGAAAACGTTGTTTCTCCCTAATGGGAGAGTTCAGGACCAGAAGGCATAATCTGAGTAAACCGGTCACCCATTTGAGACAGAGATGAGGAGGAATGTAATGGTGTGAGAGAAGAACTTTCAAAAGTTGTTTGGAGTCGACTGTTCACAGGACAACTGATGAGTAGGAAACTTTGGAAAGTGTCATAACAAGAGTTCAGAGGCGTTATGTTCCTGTTGGAGTGAAAACTAAGGTTGGTAAGATTAGGGAACAATTGATGAATAAATATATTGAGGTTCTGGTCAAGAATAAAAAAAAATCATATATTGGATATAGACTACACGGATCAAATGAATGTCTTGACTATAAAGACCATAGGGGTATTCTTAAGGGAAATCAGAAAGGAAAAGAGGAGATATGAGATAGCCTTGACAGATAAGGTTAAGGATAATCTAAATAGATTCTACAAGTACATTAACAGCAAAAGAACAACTAGTGAGAGAGTTACTTGATTACATGGGTAATGGATGATTTTGTTAAAAGCAGAAATATCAATAGCTTTCTCTTGAAATGTGCAGTGCAGTTTTGCCCAGATTATTTCTGAAGCAAAAAGCTTTACCTTCATGTCTAAGCTTTCACATACTTGTTATACCTGGGGAATAATTTGCCAGATACAGGCTTTAGTCAACCTCGTCAGACATGTTAATTACACCTCTGGAACAGGTGAGACCTGAACTTGGGCCATCAGGTCCAGCAGTAGGGACACTGCCTGTGGAACTCTTGTGACACAGTGGCAAAGGTTGCTTTTTTTTTTAAGGGGTGAGAAGTTTCAAAAATAGTTTCTGTAATAAGAATTATTTTTTAAAATTACTTTCATCACCTATGTTTAAACTTCCTCAGCATCATTCTCAGTTGAAGATTTTGTCGCTGTTGAGAATCCGTACAACTTGCCGTCTAACTTTGGTTTATTTAATGGAATTTTTTCTTTCTCAGAAACTGAAAATGTACGAGTTGGAGGAACTCCCAGCCTTACACCAATAACGACTCCAGTCTCTACACCAGTGAAGATGATTGTTGGGCCAGAGAATAATCAGTCACTGACCCAGTCTCCGTTAATTCTGCAGCCTCTTACTTCCTCACTGCAAGTTGGTGTTCCTTCCATGCCTTTGCCTATTATACTTAATCCAGCTTTAATAGAAGCTACATCTCCTGTCCCACTGTTGTCCACCCCCTTACCTGCTGCCACCACCACTGCATCTGAGGTGAACTAGATTGGGCAAGAACCAATTCTTTTACACAGGCTTTAGAAAATACTCTGTGCTTTTTGCTCATCCAGCCACTATTTTATCAGTGCACTGTTATGATAGTGACTTCTTTCTGTCCATTTTTGTATTACAGTTCACCTCCATTTGAAATCAACAAATACTAGCTGGGTGTGTGATCCTTATTAACCTAGTTATTTTGCATTTGTCAATAGCACTGCAGCTGCTCTTTACAATTTCAGCTGTAGGAACCATGTAATTTTAAATGTCCTGAAGATGGGAAGTTGAGGATGTTGAAGAACATCTGTGGTACATTGCAATTTTTTTCAGTCTGCTTCAGTTACAGTTACCAAATTACTCCACCAGAATTATTTGTCTTGGCTATAATGTACTGCCCCACCTCTCCCCACCACACAATCACTGCATTACAAATCAGAATATGGACATTAAACATTGTTAAATATACTTTGAGTGCAGCTCAATATTTTAAACTATGGTTCAAAAGATATGTTTTTGTTGTAGCCCCTTCTGTCACTTTGGCCTACCTGTTAACTAATTTAATGGTACAGCAGGACTCTGATTAAAAGAATGGTAATACAGAGAAAATTTAGTTGTAATAAAATGCAAGGTATTTTTCATGGAAATCTGTAGTGAGGACAATTATTTAACCAAACTGTTTCTACTTGTAAAGTCCGTGGTCATCTTAGCACCATGTAGTGTAGCTTGCTTCCTTTTCCAAGGCATGGACTACATTTTCTGTCTCACCACCTCTTCTAACCTCTGTTACCTTTCAATTAGCACTGTTATTAATCATTTGGCCTGTACTGAATTTTCTAGTTTTATTTATAATGTCAAACATTTTCTACACTGCACACTAACTCTCAACAAATGTGATCTGGTTTGGAATTTTAAAAAAATATTAACAATGTAAACATAGAATTCTGCAGTAAAGATTAACTTGTACCACTTCTTAGTTTCGTAGACTTCTAACTATTATAAAATGCTAGTGGACATATTGAGTTCTGCTTTATATTCTTGTCCCCAGATCTTTTACCATGCTGATACCCAAGATTAGTCATAAATGACCTACCATTGTTTACTATAGGCATGAAAGGCCAAAGCTTGTGTAATTTGAGACCAACAATCTGTATTTAAAAGTAGTTATGTTACTTTGTTCCAGATTTTGTACATTTCAGTCTGATTTTAATTTAATGGTAATGTGTGGAAAATGTCAGCAGGATCTTCTATGCATCTGCAAACTTTCGTGATCTGTTCCACTGTACTGTAAGGTTGGTTAAGAACATAAACACATAATAAAGGTAATGTATATAATAAAGAATGGTTAAAAACAAGATTTAAATGTACTTTTTACAGAGTAATAAATATCATATATGAAGGAAATTTTTGGTTGTTTGATTTATCCAGTAAATGCTCAGCTCAGAGTTATAACCTCTGACAAAAGAAACATTAAAGCTTTAAGCTTAAATACTGGATATTGATCTTGTGTAAAAGTCGACCACCAGCTTTTGGACAAAAATCCCAAACTCACCCTGGTGCAAACCTCCTCATTTGAAGGTGGCTGTTTAGCTGCATGCGAAAACACAATTCAAATTTATCACATCACTGATGCACACTGCATTCCCGAGCATTAATTTTGCAAAATAGTACCAGTAAAGAACATCACCTACATAAGTTCAAACTTAGCCAAGAGACTGTCAATTAGATGAATAATTGAACAGCACCTAGAGAATTCAAGATAATGAAGAATTTTTGATTATTAGGAGACCACAGATTAAGATATAAGTCCAGCACCTGGCTGCTGTTAGCAAATGAAGTTGCTAAATTATGTAATGAAAATTGTCAGAATCAACTCTTTCTTGGGGATCCATCTGAATCTTTGTCCTAAAATAAGCAAGAAAATTAGGTATTACAGATTTTGAATCCAACATTGAATGATGTATAAGGTTTATGAGAGAAACCGTTTTGCACTGTGATTGAAGATCAAGATTTAACAGCATCTCCCGCAGAACTAAGCTTATTGCATTTCAGTAGTCTCTGATTGAACATTGACAAAAGAATGGATACAGATTTGTCTTACCTGGGGCCACCGACGAGACCCCAATAAGTTTTGATATACCAACTCATGATATGAAATGTTGGACAGGAAACCATTTAATGGAGACAACTGGCCACTAAAAGACCAGATTTATCAATCTGATATAACAAGGTGTAGAGCTGGATGAACAGGCCAAGCAGCATCAGAGGAGCAGGAAAGCTGACGTTTCAGGTCTCCAGCATCGGCAGTTCCCACCATCTCTGTAACAGATTTATCAATATGCTGTTTACATTCGATTGGACACAGCTTAAGCTGATAGAGATATTTGAGAGAAAAAAAATGGCAATTTTCAAATTCACAGTCATGGTAACATGGACAGATGAAGGTGTCTCAAAGAAGTTTGGACTTTGACTAGGATTATATAAAGAAGAAAACCTTGTCCATGACAGGCTCCAATCACATCCTGATGATGTTGCTGAGATTAGATCGCAAACGTGTGATATTTCAGCAGTCCCTTTGATCTAACCTGCCTTGTTCAACTGTTGCATGTCTCTTTCTAAAGAAGACACAGTATTAAAAATGTAATGATTGGAGGAGACATTCACCAAGAAAGGCAGCATAGAGTCTGATGTTGGTAATCCTGTGTCAATTGGTTGTGGAGACTTAGAATGGAATCAAGACATTGGAGAGTGCAGTGCATTTCATGTGAGAGACCATTTCTTGGGGAATGATATGGCTGATAATGCAATTCAAGAAGCAAATTTTTTCTAGGGATATGGGTGTTACCCTTGAGATGGTGATGATGAGTTGCCTTGAACCACTGCAGTCCAGTTGATCCTCCCTAATAACATCATGGGTCTGAGTTCCAGGATCGTGATCCAACAATGGTGCGATATCTCCAAGGTCAGGCTAATGAGTGGCATGGAGAGGAAATTGCAGGTGGCGGTCTTCCCATATATTTGCTGCCCTTTTCCTTTTAGATGGTAACAGGATTGGAAGGTGCTGTTGAAAGATCCATCAAGTCCTGCAATGCATTTTATAAATGGCACACTGCTGCTACTGTGAGAAGATGTAAGGAGTGAATGAGGATGTGATGCCAGTCAAGCGAATCCGCCTTGTCCTAGCTGATGTCAAGTATTTTCTGTTGCTGGAGCTGCACCCACCCATGTGTGGTGGATAGGCTTTGGGGAGATCAGTTGTATAGCCAGTCCAGTTCAGTTTCTAGTCAATTGTAAGCCCTCGGATGTTGAGAAAGTCAGAGATGGTGAATGTCGAGGGGCAATGGTTAGATTCTCCTTTTTAAAAAATATTCACTTTTGTGGGATGTGGGTATCGCTGGTTGGCCAGCATTTATTGCCCTTCTCCAGTTGTTCTTGAGAAGGTGGCTGTGAGCTGTCTTCTTGAACATCTGGTTGACCCACAATGCCATTAGGGAGGGAAATCCAGGATTTTGACCTGATGACCGTGAGGGAACAGCAATATATTTCCAAGTCGAGGTGGTGGTGTTCCCATATGTCTGCTGTCCTTGTCCTTCTGGATGGAAGTGGTCATGGGTTTGGAAGATGCTGTCTGAGGATCTTTGTCTTTGTCTTTCTCCAGTGCATCTTGTAAATACACACTACTGCCGCTGAGCGTCCGGTGGTGGGAGTGGACGTACTGCCAGTCAAGTGGGCTGCTTTGTCTTGGACGGTGTCGAGCTTCTTGAGTGTTGTTGAGGCTGCACCCATCCAGGCAAGTGGGATGTATTCCATTACACTCCTGATTTGTGCCTTGTAGATGGTGGATAGGCTTTTGGGAGTCAGGAGGTGAGTTACTTCCTGCAGTATTCCTAGCCTCTGATTGTTCTTGTCATCACTACGTTTATGTGGAGTCCAGTTGAGTTTCTGATCACTGATAACACCCTGGATTTTGATAGTGGGGAATTCGGTGATGGTTACACCACTGAATAGCAAGGGGCCATGATTAGATTTGTCTCTAATTGATGATGGTCAGAGCCTGGCATTTGTAAGGTGTGAATGTTACTTGCCACTTATCAGCCCAAGCCTGAATATTGTCCAGATGTAATTGCATTTGGACAAGGACTGCTTCAGTGTCTGAGGAGTCACGAATGGTGCTAATGTTGTGCAATCATTGGTGAACACCTCCACTTCAGACTTTATGATGAAGGGAAGGTTATAGATGAAGCAGCTGAAGGTGGTCAGGTCTGGGACACTACCCTGAGGAATTTCTGCAGAGATGTACTGGAGCCGAGATGACCGACCTCCAACAAACACAACCATCTTCCTATGTGTCAGGTATGACTCAAACCACCAGAGTTTGCCCCCAATACCCACTGATTCTAGTTTTGCTAGGGCTCCTTGATGCCACCCTTGGTCAATTGCAGCCTTGATATCAAGGGCTGTCACTCTCACCTCACCTCTGGAATTCAGCTCTTTTGTCCATGTTTGAACTAAGGCTGTAATGAGGACAGGAGCGGAGTGGCGCTAGCGGAACCCAAACTAGGTGTTACTGAGCAATTGCTACTTGATAGAATGTGTCATCGACAGTGCTATCACTTTACTGATGATCAACAGTAAACTGATGGAGGATAATTGGCTGGGTTGGATTTGTCCTGCTTTTTATGTACATAATTTTCTACATTGTCAGGTAGATGCCAGTATTGTAACTGTACTGGAACAACTTGGCTAGGGGAGTGGCAAGTTCTGGAGCACAAGTCTTCCATGTTATTGTTGGAATGTTGTTAGAACCCAATACCTTTGCAGTAGCCAGTGTCTCCAGTCGTTTCTTGGTTTTACATTGAGTAAATCAAATTGGCTGAAGACTGGATCTGTAATGCTAGGACCACTGGAGGAGGCCAAGATGGATCATCCAGTTGGCACTTCTGGCTGAAGATTGCTGCAAAAGCTTCAGCCTTATCTGTTGCGCTTCCACCATGATTCACGACTGGCTGTGGCAGGACTGCAAAGTTTAGATCCAATCTGTTGGTTTTGGAATCAGTTAGCTCTATCTATCACTTGCTGCTTATGCTGTTTGGTGGCTTCACCAAGTTGACACCTCATCTTCAGGTATGCCTGGTGCTGCTCCTGGCATGCCCTTCTTCACTCTCCATTGAACCAGAGTTGACCCCTGGTTTGATGGTAATGGTGGAGTAGGGGATAGACCAGGCCATGAGGTTACAGATTGTGCTGGAGTACAATTCTGCGCTTGTTGAAGATGCTCATTGCCTGGCACTTGTGTGGTACAAATGTTACTTGCTGCTTGTCAGTCCAAGTTTGGATATTATCCAGATAGATTTGTATAGCTGTGGCTTCAGCATCTGTCCAGTCTCAACATCCCCACTGTTGGCTATATGATGGAGGAAAGGTCATTGATAAAGCAGCCAAAGATGGCTGGGCCCAGGACACTGACGAGTTATTGTAATGATGTCTTGGGGTTCAGGTGACTGACCTTCAGCAACCACAAGCATCCTCCTTTGTTCTAGTTACATTAACCAGGGGGTTTACCCCTATTCCCATTGACTTTAGTTTTGTTTGGGCTTTTTGATGCCACATTTGCTCAAATGCAGCTTTATTGTTAAGGGCAATCACAATTCCTCAGTTCTGGAGTCACTGTTTGATTCAAGTTTAAACAAAAGTTCTACTGAGTTCAGGAGCTGGGTGGCTTTGGAAGAACCCCAACTGCACCAGACAGCAAGTTTTTGCTTTATAGCACTTCCATAGTTTGCTGATTGAAAGTAGACTGAGGGATAGGCAGGCAGCTTGGTTAGATCTGTCCTCCTCTATGTGTACAGGACATTCTCGTATTTTCAACAGTGTGAGTTAGTTGCCAATGGTGTAACTCTACTGAAACAACTTGGCAGGGGTCTGGTAGGTTCTGGAACATGTCTTCAGCACTATTTCTGGAATATTGGCTGGGGCCCATAATCTTTGCAATAGCCAATGGCTTCAGCCATGTCTTGATATCACATGAAGCAGACTGAATTCCAGCAGACTGACGGCTGTGAAGGTACAGGCCTCGGAGATTGAGATGTATCATTCAACTGGCATTTCTGGCTGATTACTGTAGATACTTCCATTATTTTTGCAACAAAGGGCTTATCCCCTCCCAAATCAAAGGGGGGGGTGGGGATATTTGTTGGAGCTTCCCCTCTACTGTGTTATAGAGTAAACTAATCCCACTTGCCTGCATTTAGACCATATCCCTCTGACCCCTTCCCATTCGTGTACCTGATCGAATGTTTTAACTGTACGTTGTTTCATTGTGCACCATCATTCAGAACTGGAAATGGCAAGATGGCAAAACTTAGATCGGATCCATTGATCGTAAGATTTCTTAGGCCTATCAC